ATAAAGAATTTCAATCAATAACTCAGAATTATACTCTTCTAGTACTAACTTAATTTATAAAACCTAAATATTATAATGACTTATAATAATAACTTTAATATCTTTAAATTAATTAGAATTATATTTGTTATTAAATTTATAACCTTTTTTTTTATAACTTTAAATATTATTTCGATAATTATTTATTTAATAATTATATAAATATAGAAATTATATTATTAAAAAAATTATAATTAAAAGAATAGAATAAAAAATTTAATAAAATTTAATCGATTATAAAATCTTAGTTTTTTAGATTTGATATTTTTATATAAATTACTTATATTTTTGAACTACTAATCAAATTAATAATATATTTTAAAATATATATATTAGTGATAATCTAGTCGGTAATAAAGGTTAAAAAGCCTATCGAGTTTCGGAGAAGACAATAGAGAAAAAGGCAATGTGAAAGAAATCCACTATTCTTAAAAGGGATGTGTAATTTACGTTAACCGAGGATCTAAGTTAATTAAGTCTACATCACTTTTCTTCTCAAACTCACAAACATTGAATATTGCAATATATCGTCACATTATCACTTTCTTTAAATTCTGTCACCTGCCCATCCCATCTTATGATTCATAATACTAAACTGCTTTTACAAAGCAGATATGATGAATAAGCTAAGATGAATAAAGGCTTGATAGTATTTAGTAATGCTGCTTTTTATTTTATTTTCTTACTTTTACAATACTTGTACGTATATGTGTAAGTTTTACGAACCTTTCATTGAAGATCGTCAGTACTCGAGTAAATCAATCTGTAAGTACGAGTGGGTAAGCTTGAAATCAAAAATTTCTTCATATCAAAAAGCTTGCCCCCAGAGTCAGTGTTAGCGATAATAAATAACATAGCCCTCTTCACCCCTACAACCTGAATTCTTTCACCGGTTGGGTAATGGTATCCGAACTACTGGGATCCGGGGATCCGGTCATTTCATTCAAGGTTTTGTCCCTACTTGACTGGATTCAAACTTCGTCTGCCAATAAGTCTAAACCAAGAGTCTCGACGAGGGAAATACTGGGGTAAATGACTTACTCAAGCTGCCACAAGTGTGAGAGGGAAATCGGGAATCGGGAAAAGGTAATCACAGTAGGTCATGATCATTGATCATATAGCTGCTTGACCTGGTGTCCAGACCCTCCACCGCTCAATCATTATATCGAATCAATTTTCATAAACATCTACACCAAAAGATAATTCGACAAGAGAGGAAACCACCATTCCTCGTCCTCGGACACACTCATAAGATTGCAGTGTAGGACAGTTTGCGCTATATTCAATCTTGAAAGTTAGTTGGCACGCACGAAAATAAATCTCATCGGAAAACGAACAAACATCATTGACGTACACGAATCAACGAGTTGAATCGAAGGAAACATTGCATCGAAAACGGGAAATACGGCAAATATCGTGTTTGCTCGCCTCACTGCGCATGCACCTTTCACCGATTGGAGACTTATACATCAACAATACATTGGCACATCAGAGGATGGAATTGCGGAAATTGGTTCATTCGACCTAGGATCGTAACATGGCTTGAAGGTCAAAGTCAAGACGAACGAAATTGAGACAGGACATATATACATACACAATGTCGACAACGATAGATTCTATGCATTCGCGCAGTAGTGCGGTGTTTATTGTCACTACTGTTACCTTCATTATTGCGAGTACATTTGTTGTTGCAAGGTTGGTGAGCCGATTTGGAATTTTGAAATCGAGAACTTGGGACGACTGGTTTATCATATTGTCTTGGGTGAGATAATACTTCTAATTCTGAGCGGGGAACGTATTGGATATGCTAATATTCGTGGCCCTACAGCTTTTTGCATTTGGTTTAACCTTTTCGATTGATTATGCAACCACTAAAGGCTTGGGAGAACTTGATCGTGATATCAAGGACGAATGGCGCCCTGATCTCAAAAAAGCGCAATATGCATTCACTGTACTTTATGTGAGTGTTGTAATTTTGGAGAACTGGCAAGGCGCGCAATCTCTGACTGTTTGTATAGAACCCATGTTTGATGGCGACGAAGACTTCAATTCTCATCTTTTACCTCCGCTTGAGTCAAAATACTCAAACGCTCTTGAGATGGGCAACGTGGATCACCCTTGCCATTGTCAATTTGGATGCCGTCGTCCTTACTTTCCTCAACATATTTCAGTGTCAACCTGTCTCTGATGCATGGATGACAAATACAAATGGATCATGTATATCGATCCTCACTCTCTATTTAGCATCAGCTCCTGTAAATATCATTACGGATTTGGCTATATTGGTTTTACCGATCCCTGTCCTGACTGGAATGAGCCTTCCCCAGAGGCAAAAAGTGATCTTAGTATTCACTTTTTCCTTGGGAATTTTCGTCACAATTGTGGATGTTGTCCGGATTTATTATCTTCAGCAAGCCTCAAACGACTTTCAGACATCTGTGTCAGCGCATTCGAATCTAGGCGTGGAAGAGAACTTTGCCTATAATGCTTCGCTGGCATTCATGTGGTCTGCTGTTGAGGTCAATGTTGGAATCGTGTGTGCTTGTATTCCTACTTTGAAGCCACTCTTCAAACGAATACTACCAGCGATGATTACGGATCGAGCATCTGGAAGGAGAACTTCGCGCGCACAGATAACTGACAAATCTGGGTCAATGAGTTCTCAAATTGGTGGCGGAGGTCTTTTATATTCTATACCACCACCAAGATCCACTCCATTGCCTCCAGAATCCGATGTTCCTCTAACACCAACATCGGAAACTCATGCTGGAGGACATCGTGGAGAGACAGAAGAGGAAGGACTTAATATGGTGGACTTTTTAACAGTGACTCCAGGAATGGGCTTGAATTCCCTGCGACGAAATTCTACAGCACATACGGCAAACACCACTTACTTTGGATTTGTCAATATGAGAGTACCAAAGACAATGATGAAGACCCACGGAAAAGAATCTCTCAAATATTGTATCATGGTCACCATTCTTTTCTTCCTTTGGGGCTTCTCGTACGGATTACTCAATATATTAAATGGCGAAATTGCAACTTTAGCCAATTATACACAGAGCGAAACCATAGGATTATCTGCCGCGTATTTTGGAGGCTACGTTGCTGGAGCTTTAACAATAGGGCAGTGGGTTTTAAGACATAGTGGTTTCAAAGCTACCTTTATCTCGGGACTTTGTATATACGGTACTGGAACATTGATGTTTTGGCCCTCGGCAGTTCTAACGTCTTTTACTGGCTTCATACTCTCCAGTGTCGTGGTCGGCTTTGGTTTATCGATCTTAGAAACTGCAGCAAATCCGTTCCTTACTTTATGTGGACCGACGGAATATGCTGAATTCAGGTTAATGCTTGCGCAAAGCGTACAAGCCGTCGCATCTCTTTTCAGTCAAGTCCTGGCAGAGAAGGTCCTTTTTGAAGGGGTTAGGATTGAGGGTGAAAATCATCTAACTTTAATTGATGTCCAATGGGCCTATCTCGCCATTGCCCTCTTCACCGTCGTACTCGCTCTTTTTTTCTATTATATGCCTCTACCCGAAGCCAGCGACGCGGACCTTCAAGCACAATCGGAACTTCTCGAAATATACCCAACAAAAAAGCTACCCTGGACAGGCACATCAATTATTTACACGACTCTCGTCTTAGGCGTTGTAGCACAACTCTGCTACGTGGCTGCACAAGAATGTGTATCGGAATTCTTCAAGCCGTTGTTAATTTCCTACGTTCCTAGCGTTGGTAGTTTCAGATCCACCTTCACACTAAATGAAAATGGAGATTATCTACTACTAGGGCATGGTCTTTTTGCCATCGGTCGTTTCGTCTTCGCACCGCTTTGCTTGATGTTTCCACCGCGGATTCTCTTACTCATAGCGTTCTTTTGCCTCACCATCTTCTCAGCTTTCATCTTCGCCATCAATGATATATCTCCTTCTTTCCTTGCTGCATCGTCACTTCTAGTTTTCTTTTTCGAAGGACCTATATTTCCACTGGTGTTCTCGTTGACTATTCGCGGCATGGGAAAGGATACGAAATGGGCGTCGGCGTGGTTAGTTGCGTCAGCGACTGGTGGAAGTGTATTCGTTTTTATTATCTTTGGTGTGCAAAAGATTCACACCACACAATATTCTTTTGTAATTATTTTTATGCTCTTCCTCATGGGACTTTTATACCCGGTGTACTTGAACTTCGGGGGTGAGGGCGTGAGGCATCAGGTTGATCCGAGACCTGTGAGAATGGGAGGAGGGATTTGGTCAGGCAATGGAGAAGGTGGGGGAAATGGACAGGAAAGGGGAAATGATAGACCGGACACGCCGCTTAGGAGGTTAAGCCGTAAGGTGTCTATGTTAGTACAGAAGATCAGCTTTTCTGGGAGAAAATGTAGCACCGAACTACCCATTGTAGAACACAGAGAGGCGAGAGAGGGAGAGGAGAATCATAGATGAATGGATTGAGAAAGGATACGGCAGAGTTGATTTTTATACTTGTGATTTAGCGGGGGTACAGGATACTCGAAAGGTCCAAGTCTTTGGTTATACAGGCCTCTCGGTATGGGAGTCAAAAGGATGGGAAATTATTGGGAGCGGAAGGATAAAAATACCCAGGACTTGCCAGTGGTCGATGGCCGACAAGGCACATGATGGCGAGTTTCCATTTCAAACAGAGCCGTCGAGTTCAGGAAGATTTTCTCTTGACTTTTATTACCGTTTCCATTCACGGAATTGCGAATCTTAGATGTAAATACTTTACTGTGTGTATATTTGAGAAGAAGACAATCGTTTTTACCCTTTCTTATCTGCCAATTGATATGCCTTCAATTGATCATATACGAGTTAATAAGCTATGAAGCTTGGAACCTCGGTAAATTTAGGCTTATTAGTTGACATTGTGGGGTTGGGTTATTGCTTCTTCACATTTGCATTCAATACCTGCAATCAATGACTCCAAGCCACGAACTATCCCACCGACCCGTGTTATTATTAAGTATTATTACGACTACCTGATTATTTGAATTGACGACGGTGCTGCTACAATATGATATGAAATTCTCACAATTCAGTTTGGTGTTGTTCCTTCGAGAGTATCAGTCAGGGAGGAGAGGTGATGCATGCGGGGCGCCCCACGTCTGTAATATCTGCGAAAGCGCGAACATTTCTTGTTTATCTTAGGCCGGCGTAGGGCCCCGAGCTGTGGCATTATTGCTGTTGAGACCTGTACGGGCTGAGCTCCGCCGAACGTCGTCTGTAACCTGTGCGACTTGTGTCGAGAATCGCAGTCGAGGAGGTGAGTCTTTGAAGGTAGGGACGAGCTTTTGACTTCTTCTTTCTTTGTGGTTTCTCTTTTTGACAGGTGATTCCACGACGAGCAGTGTTACGCCATAGTTCAACGTTTGTGGAGGCAGACTGGAGCGGGGGAGGCAACTTCCTGTGAGGAGAAATCCAGATGAAAGGGGAGTATGTCTCCACCTCTTTTCGAACCCCTCGATATGAGCTGATGAATCTGTCACGGTAGACCGATTGAACAACCGGAGGACACAATGTACGCGTCGATAGATAATGGGCGACGCGATACAGGCCAATAAGTCTCGCGGACAAATGATGGATTTAGGGATGGTGAAGACTAGCAAGGAGTTATAAAACAAATAATAAAGGCGGGACGGAAATCTGTCTGACGACCACGACAAGCACCTGCCCTCCGCGGTATATGTAACACTTCCAAGTTTCAGTACAAAAAAAATCGATCTGTGGTGATGACAATAAATCTGCGTATCAGCAAATGAATTTTCTGGGCATCATTGTATAAGAACGCTTAACGGCCGAATGAAGTTTTTAGGGCCATGGGTGGAAATACAATCATGGGGATATTTGCAATTGCTGGATAAAAACTTGTCTGGGCTTGTGGTAGATTAGCATGCTCTGTCTGAGTTGGGTTAAATTCCTAACCTCACGGTTAAAACCAGATATGAAGGAAATGTAATTTTGTTAGGTCAAAGGTAGACTTCGGAACTACCTCAATTGCGGCGAAGAAGTCATTGAACGCGATTGATAGGACACTCTTTCTTTATCCATCACTAAGTTCCTATATCTATGCAAGGGGTTCGGCTACGAATCGCGCAGAAACCTTCATTCTTCTATTGGCTGATATTGGTTGATATTGGCCGAGTCCCTGAGGCTGAGAAGAGACAATTGTCCTTGATTTCCACATACGCGCAATCATATGCGCCCCAAAAAGGAAAAATTATTGAAGCCAAGTCCAACAGTTGACTCAGAAGATATGTTCGCATTGTACCTTTCTCCATTTCACTCGCGACATCATCACAATTTTCTCACTCTTTGGCCAGACGGATAGCCATTAGTTAGGAAGCCATTGAAAGAAATCAATTACATCTCCTGGCCAAAAGACATTTTCCATTTTACAGTGCACCTGCATTCCAACACGCCCTATTTCACCATGCGATCAAATAAACCCGTCCAAATCCTTTTCTTAGCGTCACTACTTCTCTTAGCCGCCTTCATCGCCGTCCCGTCAAAGGCTAGATCAAAGGTACCATTCTCTATTCCAACACTAGGGACCTTTCATTTCATACCCATCTCACGTCCAAATCTCAATGCGTTTATGCAACAATCCGAAATCATATATCAGCGTGCGGTAGCACAAAGAAGGGAGATCCGACGTGTTTTTCCTAATCGAGGATTCTTTCCTGCCAAGGATGAGATCACTTTCAAGGAAACTCCATGGAGTATTTGGGATTTAGTCACCCCGAGTTATGGTTGTCCATGGGAAATGGAGAGACTTGGGAGGGTCGGAGAAGGAGGTTGGTGGATTTGTGGGATCAGTAAATTTGCGAAAGGGGAAAAGCCTTGTGTCGTTTATAGTTTTGGTGAGTGATGCTATTCTTTCATTTCTGGGAAATTATGGCTGTAAAACCAAGGATTGTTGCTGACATTGGGAGCGGAATAGGAGTAGGAAATGATTCCTCATTCGAAGCCGAAATTCTTGGTCGAACTAAATGTGAAATCTGGGGCTTTGATCAACATGTGCCGGGATTTAATTTTGGCCCAGAAGTTACTGAAGAAATGAGAGGACGGGCACATTTTGAGAGAAATGGGGCAAATGGAGCTACGAATGAGAGGAACAGGCTTTATACGATTCAAGAATTGATGAAAAGGAATGGACATGACTATATGTAAGTCTTTCATCGTCTACCCTCACGACCTTTCTCTTTCTACATAAAAATAGAAATGCTAATGTTCTATGTCTTGGGGAAATAGTGACATTCTGAAGACGGATATAGAACACTCTGAATACAATGCGCTTTCTTCGCTAAACGGACATACACTTCCTGGCGGAGCCGGCGCATCTACATCTCCTGACCCAACTAAACCGGAATTTCCTATTGGTCAAATATTGGTGGAAATGCATATTTTTGAATGGCAAGGTATTACTGCAAGTGTATTTCTGGATTGGTGGGAGAGTATGGAGTTTAGGGGATTGAGAGCTCTACATAGAGAAATTGATACGGTAGCGCCGGGGATGGGGGTTGAGGGAGGAGTCAAGTTGTGCAGCGTGAGTTTTCTTCTGTTCTTTCTATTGCCCAATCATTTGGGATGAAGTGCGCTAACGTCGGGATACCTAATTAGTACACCTTGTTAAATATACAAGATTCGAGGAACAGACTTTATCATAGATGAAATACGGCTACATGGACATAACATGTGTTGAAAGGGATTATTTGAGAGCGGATGGGAATTGATATTGGAAAAAAGCATTACATGAGGCTTATATGGTTAGACGAACAGAAGTTTGGCATTGAATGGGAATACGAACATGGTGTTGTGTTAAGCTTTCGATCCATAGTTCAAACCAAGATGTCTTACTCGAGTAGTTCAACGAGTACTTATTTTCTGGACCAGACAGATAGATATTCATTCATCCTCGTTGAAGTCGAGATGGGTTTTTCATTCCTCAACCATTTTTCAATTTTTCCATAATTATCGAATTATCCGAATGTCCTTATATTGTGATATCTTAACGCGACCACGAATTCCAGCACTGATCTACATTGCAAACTGTCAGCTTAACTGCTGTCAAAATACCGGTATTTCTCTGTGAACAAAACCATTCGAAAGTCTTATGATTATCTGTTAATTCGTATATTTTCAGAAAGCCTAGGACTATAATTATTCATGTCGGAACAAGAGGGACTCTTGAACCCAAGTGGGCGTATTATGAGTTATATATGATGATATCTCAACGGACATTACTTCGAGTCTACAAAAAAAGACGGGGTCTCGCCCCCTAAGACCTCCGTAGCAGCACTTACTTCACAGGTAATGACTCACTCAGAGCATCAACTCTCTTTTCCACAATCAGCTTAGGTTTGAAGCTATTCCGATTTTCTCGAGGATAGAGACGCCTGCGAACTTGCGGCGTAACCCATCACCTATGAGATTACTGTCAAGATCATAGTAATTGATATATCAGACTAGAATGAAGGAAAGGGGAACGAAGTTGTCCATGACCCAACCCCATCACCGTTAAGTTAACTTCCCTTTTTGCTTCACTGTCCTGCACATTTTGTACACTCAAAGACTATAGTTGAACCTTCTCCAATCACACAAAAGTGGACATTCCGACTAGAATGTGTTCTGGCATTCGTCTTGTGTCTATTGATAGTGTTCCCTCCACGAGAAGCCCCAAGCTCCTCCTTGGATTCCCACTTACTATTACTACTTTTGCCTACACCTCTAGCGATATTGGTTTCGCCTCAGACTTACCTTCAGGCTTCACAATTGGTTTGGGATCCGTGTTTTCGACTGCTGCTGTTGTCTTTGGCTTGAAGTAGTAAATTAACTTGAAAGTCACCTTTGGTAGCATGAAATCGAGCACAGCTTTCACAGCCTCTTCAATGTTATTCTGTTATATCAATGGCTCAACAGCTTCCAGTTGAAGTTTCTCCTCGAGTCCTCGTTTTTTTTGTTCTATTCATTGCTCTCGGGGAAATTTAGTACGAATCCAGTCACACCATGATCGAGCAGATCCTCACACAAAATCCTATCATTGGTTCTGAAGTATTGCGCAGTACTTTGTATCTTCGTCTTCAACAATCCCATCCTCTCCCTCCTTTGTTTTCACCATTAAAACTATCTTGGTCTTATTTTCATGACGATCTTACCAGAGCATTGTTGTACTCGGTAACGAGTAGTGCTGATGTGTGCCGAGTGATAGAGACTGTGATTCAGTTCGAATCTGCAACAAATCTAGCATTACTGCCACTGTGGCACATGACGAAGACACGACCGCATCGAAGAAAATCATGCCTGGCTCGAGACTCTGAATCCAATTCAGAGTAAACATCTTCAAGCCTCTGACTTCGGGGACTGTATCGACTATTTGAACTGAATGTAATTATGAATGGTTGCCGATTGCCACCTTGAAAAGCTTTCTGTATCCCTGGCCCTAACAATTCAATAAGCTGTATTAGCTGCGTTCAGGTGAAAGGAGAGCCATGGATTCTATCTGGGTATTTTAGCAAATAAGCATCGCAGATGCGGCCCACAGTTTATTTCTTCTACATCTGCAACGAATAGTGAACAGAGTTGGGTACGTAAAGGATGATTCAAAAGGACTGGAAGGGCTTTGAATGCTGGTGAGTTGGAATATATTGCAGCTTGTTTTTCATTGGTTGGATTAGTCGTGCCGTCCTCGAATCATCATAGATCGGTTTTTTAAGTGGGCTCAATGCCAAGGACTTGCAGGAATCACAACAATTGCGGAAGAAATTCTGGCTTCCCATTTGCTTGCTCAACGGCTAAATGTTGGAGTAAGCAAGATTATCACCTATCATTTGTATCATGTTATCTTTCGAGCTTCCTAATTCCTATACTCCAACATACGATGGTTTTCTTAGCTTACTCACCAACCCTGCGTGAACATCCGATGATAAAACAGGATTGGCATTTCTTCGGAACTAAAGTTTTAAAAAACATATAATAAAAGAAGCATATCGAGGGAGAAAACAATTTCCTCGGTGATTTACCGCTTTATCTATCTATAGCACCCCCAAAAACCACTTTCAAATTTATTATGTCTCTTCCCAATAGGCAATCCTCAGACACTCAACGAATTTCTTGATACTCACCCCGAGGTAGAGTTTCTTCGGTATCAATGGTTGGATATTGGAAATGTCCTGCGACTGATTGTAGTTACCAAATCACAAGTCCTTGCACTAGCTGAGAAACCCCTCAAAGTTTCCTGCCTTTGTCTTGGTCTACTTCCAGATGATTCTTTCAATCTGACCCGATTTAAGCCGGCAGGATACGATGAACTTTTCCCAGATTGGGCAAGTCTTCGAGTGTGTACCTATGTGGGAGACGGGAAGACACATGCTAGTGTCATGTGTTTTGTGAAAGAGATGAGTCGAAACTTTCCACCTTGGAAACGAGATCCTCGATCTATATTACAAGAAGCCTTAAATCGTTCAGAGAAGACACTGGGATATCGATTTCTTGTAGGGTTTGAGCTCGAATTTCACCTCACCCAGATTGATGAAAGCAAATCTGTGAAGTTGGTAGATCAATTCTATGGTGCTGCGTCGGCAAGAGACGGAGGTGTATCCCGTTTCTTAGAGGAATGCATTCGATCTATTTTAGATGCCGGAATTGTAGCAACTCATCTCCACAGTGAGGTTGGGCATGGCATGTTTGAGATTCCAACTGGTCCACTGAGACCAATTGAGGCCGTTGATACACTTGTGTATTGTAAAGAAGCTATACAAACAATCTCATTAAAACATGGGTTCAACGCAACATTTTTTCCAAAGCCAGTATTATCGCCATCTCATACAGCCGTTGGAGCTCATGTCCATTTTTCTATCGACGAAGTAACACAAGAGGTGGCGGATCATTTCTTGGCCGGGATACTCGATAATCTCCCAGCATTGTGTGCTTTTAGCATGCCAAACTTTGACAGCTATCATCGACTGGGGGATTTTAGAGGTACGATTGGGACTTGGGTTGGTTGGGGTGAAGAGGATAAGGACGTGGCAGTCCGGAAGAACAGGTTATTGGGAAATTAGATGTGCAGATCAGATGGCGAATATGTTTTATGTCCTCGCGGGTTGGATCACGGCTGGATGCTCGGGGGTGAACAATAAAATACCGTTGAAGTGGAAAGACCCTCCAAGTAAGTACCCTTCTGCCAGGAAGGCTTTATGGTAACTGACTGACCTCGACAGGTTTGATGGCGGGAATGACTGCAGAGGAAGTGGCGGAATTGAATTGGGACACCAAGTTTCCGTTATCACTCATTGATGCTGTAGAAGCACTTGAAAAGACAGCAAACAGCCATTCATTGAGTGAACTCGGAGAAGAATTCTTACATATGTATATCAACTTTAAGAAATTGGAGGCTAAGCAGGCTGCAGAAAAGACTGAGAAGGAGAGGCTAGATACACTTTCGAGAATTTTCTGATCAAACATGAACACGAGAGTACGGGATCAAGAGAATAAACAGAGGAAAGCACCATAAGTCGAAAGAAAGACACCTAACTGATAAATGGCACAGACCGTTTCATCTTCTTTGAAAGTCAATTGTATATTGATTTATGTTAGAAAATGATGCCCTATGGCATGGTGGAAATAGCAGTATTATTGACTATCTTTAGAAAACTATATATTATATTTCTATCAAAAAGAAAAAGGTATACAAAACGATCCTAGTTATATAATAAATAAATGTCTAAGATATTCATCCAAGTTAATATAGTAAGGAAGATAAGAATAATAAGAATATAGAATATATAACATCTAATTTCAACTTCGAACATTTTCCTATTAAAATTATATTTCTTTATATTTTATTTATATTATCTTTTTTTATCTTTCCAATCCCAATATTTTCCAAAATATCTTGAATATTATTTTCTTATATAGTTTTGTTATCCTATTAATTATTACATCAATAGTATTGATATTGTTGATATCACCGTGGTGGTGATGAAGTGTCAATAGTACTATCATATTTCATATATTTGTATTGCCTTAAGGAACTAAACTATAAAGATGCTAATACTAAAAGATATATGCTCCGTAGTAGTCAAAACATTGCTTATTGCTCTAATCTTTACCCCTACCGCTCACTATAACTAAATGAGTGATATTCAGATATTAGCAATTATCTAAAAATCGAATGAATTCGTTTTTAATAATCCTTTCTATATCCCATTAATCCCTTTTTCTCTAATCTCTTTCAATCCATTCTATAATCTTGATCTTGATAGTGTTATTATCAATTAGTTCCTTGAATGCTTTTTCTACCTTAGATTTCATTATTACATCAGCAGGATTAGATTCTTTATCAATCTATTTGATCTTT